CGTCAGACCATCAACGTTAGACCTTCAATGCCTAAGGTTACTCCTCTGTAATAGGGGGCCATAATACCCCCTCCCAGAGTCCTTTGAAGGAGCAATGAGTAAGAGTAATACAGTAAGAGTACTTAGTCTGGCCGCTGGTACACAGTCAATGTTCAGTGCAGCTGAAGTGTAATCATGATGGTGACAACAATGAAGACTTCTACCCAAGACCCATCCACTTCTCTCCATCATTCACAGAGTAGGATAGACTCACTCCTTCGTCAGCATTCAGCTGCGTTTCTTTGGTTCTCACTTCCCACTTCCCATTCATCTTGACTCAACCCCACCTTTCCACACCCCCTGCTCACACTCACCTTCTCCTTTCCCCTTTCCCATGGCTCCAGTATCAGCTCACTCCCCCTCTCTTAGACCAGGGCTCTCACCTTGCCACTGAGCTCAGTGCAGTGCCTGGAAGGTGGTGGCTGGCGATCAAGAAGCAAGAGCTGCTACACTCCTTGGCTCTGATCACTAATCATTTTGTTTCTCTGAACCGTTGGAGGTGCCCAGCAGGGGCCAGCTCCCCGAGGGCCAGTTCTCACCCAGGAGAAGGATGTGTGGGGTGTGGTTCTATCACGATGCTGCTGTGTAGACAGGCCAGGTCCCGTTACACAGAAACTTCGTGAATGGTCTCTCTTCCTCCTCCACCATTGTGCTATCTCCACTGGCAGGTGGGGACACGAGGCTGAGAGAAGGAACCTGTGCCTGGTCGCACAGCTGACAATGGCTGAGCGTGATGTGAGCTGCGTTCACGCGGTTCAGGCCCTTGCTCTGGATTCATGGTCCTCCCTCCCAGCCTGTGCTTCCCTCCCAGGTTACAATGCAGGCTCTGGGGTGGGGTCTAGCCTGATCCCACATTGCATCCGGCTCTGGGCCAGCACAATGCTCCCCAAGCTCAGGGGGGCTGGTCCGCTGAGATAAGCATGTACTTGAGCCTGGCAGGCATGCCAGCATCTGTCCTTCCCTGTGACACCAAGGGCCTGTGTGGGCTCCAGAAGGACAGATTGGGTCCTGCCATTCCAAGCATGGGTCACGGCCTTTGCTCTTCAAGTGCACGGGGTCTGTGGGCTCACAGTATTGGTGTCACTTGGGAACCAGAAGCTGCACCTCACCAAGATCGCCAGGTGTCTTTATTCACACTGAGTTTGGGGGAACACGGCTCCAGGTTCCTCCCCTGCTTCCAGTGGGAGCTCACGTCTTTGGCACATCTAAGACTGTGCAGCCTCAAGGCCCCCAGTGATCCCGTGCTCACCTGAGAAGCCATGCATGTGTGTTCCAGCCCCAGTGTCCACAGGTAAACCTGCCCCTGGCCGCTCCCAAAATGCAAGTCACATGCTCCCCGAGAAGTGCTTCCAGATCCTTCCATATGCTGCTCTGTTTCTTTCTGCCATCATCACTCCCTCATTTACCCTTTAGGACCTTTCACTCTGTTCTTTTCCTCACATAGTCATCACCAAACCAAGTGGTTAAGACACTGAACTCCCACATGGCCAACTGCAGTTCAAGTCCTGGACCCAGAGGCTTGAAACTCATACCAGGCTCGTGTGTGTGTGTGTGTGTGTGTGTGTGTGTGTGTGTGTGGGTTTAAGTTTAGGGATAGTGTTAGGGTTAGGGTTAGAGTTTACGGATAACAACTTGTAAAAACATGCCAGGCATGTGTGTGTGCATACCCACGATCCTGGAGGGGTTGCCATGTGGCCATAGCCCCTGGGGAGAGGGGTGATTTTTCACTTTCCCTCTCTCTGTCTCTCTCTGGCAAGTACACATGTTCTAGGACAAAAAATATTTTTTAAATTATTTATTAAATTTTATTTATTCATTCATTTATTTTTAATTTGACAGAGACCCAGAGAGAGAGAGAGAGAGAGAGAGAGAGAGAGAAAGGAAGTGAGAAAGCAAGCCATCAGGTCCGAGACTTGAACTTGAACTCAGCCATGTGGGAGTGTCCAGGGCCTTAACCACCACGCCACCTCTTGGTCCCCCATGGCAAAAAATCTTAAACAAACAAACAAACAAACAAAAGTACCTGAGTCAGAATGTTCAGGTTCAAGTCCACCACTTGTTGACGTTGAGACAGCAACGTCAGACCATCAACGTTAGACCTTCAATGCCTAAGGTTACTCCTCTGTAATAGGGGGCCATAATACCCCCTCCCAGAGTCCTTTGAAGGAGCAATGAGTAAGAGTAATACAGTAAGAGTACTTAGTCTGGCCGCTGGTACACAGTCAATGTTCAGTGCAGCTGAAGTGTAATCATGATGGTGACAACAATGAAGACTTCTACCCAAGACCCATCCACTTCTCTCCATCATTCACAGAGTAGGATAGACTCACTCCTTCGTCAGCATTCAGCTGCGTTTCTTTGGTTCTCACTTCCCACTTCCCATTCATCTTGACTCAACCCCACCTTTCCACACCCCCTGCTCACACTCACCTTCTCCTTTCCCCTTTCCCATGGCTCCAGTATCAGCTCACTCCCCCTCTCTTAGACCAGGGCTCTCACCTTGCCACTGAGCTCAGTGCAGTGCCTGGAAGGTGGTGGCTGGCGATCAAGAAGCAAGAGCTGCTACACTCCTTGGCTCTGATCACTAATCATTTTGTTTCTCTGAACCGTTGGAGGTGCCCAGCAGGGGCCAGCTCCCCGAGGGCCAGTTCTCACCCAGGAGAAGGATGTGTGGGGTGTGGTTCTATCACGATGCTGCTGTGTAGACAGGCCAGGTCCCGTTACACAGAAACTTCGTGAATGGTCTCTCTTCCTCCTCCACCATTGTGCTATCTCCACGGGCAGGTGGGGACACGAGGCTGAGAGAAGGAACCTGTGCCTGGTCGCACAGCTGACAATGGCTGAGCGTGATGTGAGCTGCGTTCACGCGGTTCAGGCCCTTGCTCTGGATTCATGGTCCTCCCTCCCAGCCTGTGCTTCCCTCCCAGGTTACAATGCAGGCTCTGGGGTGGGGTCTAGCCTGATCCCACATTGCATCCGGCTCTGGGCCAGCACAATGCTCCCCAAGCTCAGGGGGGCTGGTCCGCTGAGATAAGCATGTACTTGAGCCTGGCAGGCATGCCAGCATCTGTCCTTCCCTGTGACACCAAGGGCCTGCGTGGGCTCCAGAAGGACAGATTGGGTCCTGCCATTCCAAGCATGGGTCACGGCCTTTGCTCTTCAAGTGCACGGGGTCTGTGGGCTCACAGTATTGGTGTCACTTGGGAACCAGAAGCTGCACCTCACCAAGATCGCCAGGTGTCTTTATTCACACTGAGTTTGGGGGAACACGGCTCCAGGTTCCTCCCCTGCTTCCAGTGGGAGCTCACGTCTTTGGCACATCTAAGACTGTGCAGCCTCAAGGCCCCCAGTGATCCCGTGCTCACCTGAGAAGCCATGCATGTGTGTTCCAGCCCCAGTGTCCACAGGTAAACCTGCCCCTGGCCGCTCCCAAAATGCAAGTCACATGCTCCCCGAGAAGTGCTTCCAGATCCTTCCATATGCTGCTCTGTTTCTTTCTGCCATCATCACTCCCTCATTTACCCTTTAGGACCTTTCACTCTGTTCTTTTCCTCACATAGTCATCACCAAACCAAGTGGTTAAGACACTGAACTCCCACATGGCCAACTGCAGTTCAAGTCCTGGACCCAGAGGCTTGAAACTCATACCAGGCTCGTGTGTGTGTGTGTGTGTGTGTGTGTGTGTGTGTATGTGTGTGTTTGTGTGTGTGTGCCCAAGATCCCGAGGGAAGAGTGGAGGAGACGGCATTGCAGTATGGCCATCCCCCCAGAAGGTGTTTTCTCGCTTCCTCTCTCTGTCTCTCCTGCGAGTATACACATCTTAATATAAAAATCTCTCTTAAAAATAAATAAAATAAAAGCACATTTATGAGCACCTTAGGTGAGCAACAGGAGACATTTGAAGGGAGTAGAACAGCATTCTAGTTTCATTCATTAATCAGGTATCTCCTGCGTGCCTGCCATGTATGAATACCACAAGCCAGGAAGACACATCAGTGGACGTAAAACATGCAAAACCGTTTCGCAATATTAAAGCATCTCAGGACATCCCCACCGGCACATCCTAAAGCAGCCCACAGATGCCTCCTACTCTTTCTCTCTCACTGTCTCTCCCTCCCTTCTTCTCTTTCCTTCTAACTTCAGTGGAAGCCATTTTTAGCAGAGCACTGAAGAGCAGAGGGGGAACCATTCACCTCCTGAAAATGCATCTCCAGGCTCTGGCAAAGGGCTCTACCTGTTTCTCCATAAAGCCAGACCTGCTCAGAGAAGGGCCCCCCAAATCTTAACTGGATTCTGGTGTTTCTAAAAGGTTGACCCCTTGTCTCTCTGAGTCTCCTCTGGTTTGTGTACAGGTGTCTGTCATGACCCATGGAACTTCACTGGGGTCTGAGTTCACTAGTTTCCTTCGCCACACTGGCCCTAAGAGCAGCAATCAGTAGTTCATGTCATCAGCTCCCAGCTCACTGCTGGGCACACAGTAACTGCTCACTTAGTTCTTCTTTTTGCTCTTTTAGAAAATATTTATTATTATTATTATTATTATTATTTTAATTTGACTAGAGAGAGAGAGAGATGGGAGGTGGGGGTAGTAAGAAAGCAAGCTGTCAAGTCCAGGACTCGAACTGCAGTTGGCCATGTGGGATTCCAGAGCCTTAACTACCATGCACCTGCCGGTCCCAATTAGTATTTCTTGAGTGAATACATGCATGCAAGACTGAGTTGCAGACACATCCTTCCTACTCGGTGGTTGCCCAAAGGCTCTGACGTGCAGGACAGTGGCCATTGTGTAGCCCCACTTGGCTGACACACAAGTCCTGGGCCAAGGGTGAGTGGACGTGTGTGCCAGGCCCAGGGCAGAGGGTGCATGGTGTGTCTGTTTGCATAGGTGCGCAGGTCCACAAGCGCATGCCTGTGAGCGAGGGCTGGTGGCTGCTCCCGGAGCCTGGGCGGGCCTCTCTTACCGTGGTGTACTTGCCCAGCTGGCAGAGTGAAGGGAAGGTTTCCTGGTGAGCTTTCCGGATCTTCTCGGTGAGATCGTCCAGCTCAGCGGTCATTTCATAGCTTTCTGTGCATTCTTGCTTGGAAGGCTCCTTCTTTTTCTTGTTCCTGTCATTCCTGACAGCTGGAAACGAGAGAGAAGGCAGGAAGAGGTCAGCTTGGGCTGCCTGGGCTGGGAAATTGGCTTTGCCCCATGTTGCCTTGGACGCATTGGACGCTTGGAACAGGAGCAATGGGAGAAGGTGGTGTAAACGCATCACCCCAGGAAGCGAGTGGGCAGCCTGGGGCCCGGGCAGAGAGCTAGGTTTGCCGTTCTGAGAGTGCACGAGCCAGTCAGCTCTGCAGAAGGCTCAGCTCCCCCAGGGGCCCTACAGTCTTGGTGTGCTGTGAGAGAACTTTCTATATGTGGACTGGATTCTTGATGAAGGGAGGACTTTGCCAAGAGCGTTTCCTCCAGTCCCTGAGGGACATTGCAAGGGACCCCTTTTACCAGGGAGTCAGGTCCCCGAACAAAGCCCCTGCTGCTGCGTTAGTAGCATTCTCCTGCTAAGCATGTGCGCTCTCTGTTTTTCATTTTCTGAATGAACAAACTGGCACTTTTAAGGAAATTCATCTTAGAGGTCATGGGATTATGGTGTTTGTCTCTTCATGCATACTTCCTGTAATAAGCACATGATCTCTGCTGTCTTTGTTTGTTTGCCAGGGGGGGTGTATGTGCTAGCAGAGAGTGAGACAGAGAGACAGAGAGATCAGGAGAGAAGGAAGCATCCCCCATGGGGAATGGTGGCTGCAATCCCTTCTTCTCCACTTCTCTCTTCTTTTGAGATTTTGAGCACGCATACACACACACACACGTGCCTGGCGTGTTTCTCAAACCACCAAGTCTGGGATTCAAACCCTTGGGTTGGCCATGTGCAATCCATCTGCCTCAACTACTAGGTTATAAAGCAGACCCAGCTTTATTTTATTTTTATTATTATTATTTTTAATTAAGCTATTTAAAAACAATAATTGATGCAGTACGAAACCCTCAGACTGGAAAACCATTCATTCACCTATTCACCCACTACTCATTTGCAGGAGCCTAACTCCTCACCTGGCCTGGCCCACTGGATCCTCAGTGCGTGTCCTTGGTCTCTGTGGACCTGGTCGAGCAGGGCCCCGGGCACATCGTCAGGGCCCAGGACTTGGTGCTGTGGAATGCTCCCTCCCACAGCACAGGCTTCTCGAATGACTTCACATCCGACCGTAACTTAAGGCTCTAGCCCCTGACTAGGATCTCCTGGGGAAGGAAACTGAAACCCAGGGAGGCAGACAGGTGAAACCAGACTATTCCGACCTCCTCTGGGGAGTCCACGTTCCCCGGGGACCCAGGGAGTGCCATGGCTGCCGCTGCTGGGCTGTGTCTGCCACCACGGTGACCTGGGAATCTGTGCTGCAAAATGACCCAGGGCATAATCTGATCGTCCCTAAGGGGATTTGGCTTGGGTTGCCTCCCCAGAAGCATGCCAGGTCAGAGATCTGAGAACTGGCAGTTCCCTGGGTCTACACCCTGAGAATCCCCAAGCCCTGCGTGGCAAGGGACCGGGGGCAGAGTGAAATAAAAACAGGGAAGAAAAGAGGTTGAAAGAAAAGGAGAGGATTGTGAAGGGGGAGAGGGAAGACAAAGGGTCAGGGTGAACATACTGAAAAATCACAGAGGCGGACAGCCACTCCCACCTGACCAGGAGACATGGCCTGAGGATCACACTTACTCCTCTTTTCAGGAAGGTGGTTTTAAAGCCAGTTGAGAGATGAGGGAACTAAGCCTCGGGGAGGCTTGGGAATGTGCCCAAGGTTATGAGGCTGACAAGTTCTCTCCTCACTCGGACTTACTCACCCAGTCTTAGGAAGTGGATGCTTTTGAGAACAAGATGTCTCCTGACCACCTCCCTCCCCAGGACCCTGAAGGGGCAGTCGTTCGGCTCAGAACATTCTAGATCACCCAGGAAACAAGCAGGGAAAGGCAGTGCAAGATAACCCAGGCTCGGATATATTCTTTTCCAGGACAGATTGGTCCTTCAGGGGCCTCTGGGACCATTGCCTCCCAGCAGGTGCAGGAGGAAGGGCCAGAGAGCACACGGAGAACACAGTCAGCAGCAGGGGTGGCAGGGATGACTTTTTGTAAGGATGGAGTTGGGTGAGCAAGAGGTATGGCCTTCCTGAAGGCTGTGTGGGAGCCCTCCCAAAGGCTCTGAGGGCTGATTATGAGACCCCCTTCTTGTTCCTGCTCCTGCCCATGACCCTCCCCTTTAGCTAATGCAAAAAGTCAAATCCAGGCAACAAAGGTCAGAAAACCAAAACTAAGCCATGAGGGAAACCATCGGGCGGTTTCTCAGAAAGGGAAACACAGTCTGCCTCTATGGGAAATCAGATGAGCAAACACAGCTCTAGAGGGATACATGAGAGGAAGAGGGTAGTCAGTGAGCTATCACCATGAATCTCCTGAACCAAGCCCAAAAAGTGAGAGGTGAGGTCATGTGGGAAGGGGACTTTGGAGCTGCAGCTGGGCACCAACTTGGGGGCTCGGTTGGTTTGTGGGGGACAGCACTCACCATGTGCAGAATAACAGCTGCATCTTCTGTGTACTGGGGCCCAAATCTGGAGCCCCCTTACCAGCTGACTGGTTGCCAGGGGACCAGGGGGTAACCTTAGGCTGTCTTCCAGAACCCTTTTGTCCCCTTAATAAAGTTCTGCCACCACTGTCTCTGTGACTAAAGAACTCCTGAGACTAGCAGAAACTCCTCCACACCTGCAAAATACAGTTACCCCTCAGGCAATAAAGGACCAATTACGTAAAGCTTCAAACGTTGATGGACACATTTTTGAAACTTGTGGCTTCTGCAGCTGCTTCATTCAGTGATTTAAACTGCAATGGAACACAGACACGGGGTCTGGGCCAGGTGTGGGGATGGCTGCCAAGAGCCACCAGAACCAAGGAGAGGATGCAGTGCACAGGAAGCCAGAGAGTCTGTAGATGGTAGCTCTGTCTGGCTGCTAGACGCTGTCAGCCCCTCTGAGGTCAAGGTCTGCAGCTCCTGGGGCAGAGTGGGGACTTACTCCATTGCAGGCTACCAAGGCAAGGCAGGGGGACATGGGGCTGCAGTGGATCTGAAATAAGTGCCAGCTCCATCACTCCCCAGAGGAGTCAGCTCCTAGCAGAGGCCCTTTCTTCCTGACAGCATTGGCACTTTGTAAGATACACGGATGGCATGCTAGGTGACAGAGAGTTTGGCATTGCATGGGCTCATGTGCGTTATACAGGAGGAAGAACTCAAGGCCTTTCGTGTGGAAATCAGTAGAACTTAACGCTGTAGACTTGGGGTTGTAGTGGGAACTGTGGCTGTCTGTGGCAGAGCAGACATGGAATAAAAAATGATGCTTTCAGAGAAGCCATTTGGTAGCAGAGCAAAGGAGCAGGTGGAATCATTTGTGCCTTCTTGCTTTATTTATTCATTCATTCAGCACCTATTTATTGAGTACCTACCATGTGCCATCTGCTATGGGAATGAAATGGCGGCAACGCAGGATGGTTTCTGCTGCCACAGAGCTCACTTACGGTGGGAGGACAGATTATTGATCAGATAATCATAGTCACAGTACTAATAACAGCAGACTGCTAGCATCACTGTTGTTTTATGTATTGCAATTCCTATACTGGAGTATTACTTATTATCACACTGAAAGTGCTAGTGACAGCTACTGCAGCAGTGTCAGGCACTCACTGACACCCTCTATTCAGAGTAAGCCACTCAATACGCATGGCAGCCTGGCAGGGTGGGGGTCATCATTATGTCCATTTTTCAGATGAAAAACTGGAGGCCTAGAAAGGTGGGTAACCTGTCCAAGACTGTGCACCCCATACGTGATGAAGTGAGGCTCTGAACTCAGGAAAGCTGGCTCCAGGGCCATACCCCTTAACCATCCTGCGTGTGTATTGCACACCCACCTGATCCCATAGCATAAGAGCCATGAAGCATGCTGCAGGGAGCTGTGAGTGTTTATTACTGGGTGTGAGCTGGTGGGAGGGTGGACTCCTACTGGTCCCAGATCTGAAAATGATGCTGGGGAAAGAGGAGGTGTGGGGAAGTGGGCAGGGAGTTCGTAATGCTCTCCTTGGGCAGCCTGAGCAGGCAACCGATGCTCTACTCCAAAGGCAGCCCGTGATGTCTGACGGCCGGCCTCCTCTTCTGCTCCAGTTGCAAATGGCTGGCATTTACACGATACGTCAGGATGGACCTGGGGCAGGGCAAGCTGCTTTCAGGCACAGTTCCCCTGGGAGGGGATAGGAGGCTGGAGGAGCACAGTCACACCTGCATCAGAGCCTGCTCCACACGGCCCTCCCCTCCTAGCCTGAATATCTGGAAGGCAATGGCCTGATTTTCTCGTGTCTACACCCCTCAGGGCTTAATACAATGTCTGGCCCACAGTGGAGGCTCAAAAACTGTTTTGCAAGTGTCAGAGCAACATGGGACTAGACGTGGCATTCTGTCTCCTGCTAAAGCCCGTGTGTGGCATCTCAGAGCTCACCTGACCCTTTTTCTTCCAGAAAGTAAAGGCCTCATTTTCACCTTGGAGCAATCACTAACTGCTCTCCACCGTGGAGAAGTAGCCAGGAGGTTGATGAAGCAGGCGGGGCGTCCAAAGGGTCAGAGCGTGATTTATACACCTGATAGAACCCGGCCCAATGTTTGCAAAGCGCTTCCTGGACGAAAGGTGCTCCATAAAATATCAAGTATTCTCCTTGTGAGGGGCTAAGTGCTACAAATCAGATTTGGTGGCATAAAAGTAACATATTTATGATCCACTATCATATTGCAAATGAAATGAATGTAATAAAAGTGTCACTTATACAAATACCTCTGATGTACGGATCTCGACCTATGAATATGAAAACAGACACCCAAGCACTTTTATTTGAATGTCTAATCATGGAAATAAATGAAGTCATGTTCATTTTAATGTGTGCACTTGTGCATGGATCTGGAATATTGATTTCCATGCACACAATAAAAATTTAATGCAGAAAACATGCAAAAGATGTGGAGTTTACTTGGCTTCAGGAAGAGATCTAAACAATGCTTC